TCAAACTTCATGACATTCAACGGTCCCACTAAATAATTCTGTTACCACCTCCATCCCATCTCGATCTTCCCTCACCGTTGCGTACATCAACATAAACGGCCTAAACGTACCGTGGCATTTCTATCTCCTAGAAGCACAGGCACATACAAGTTCATATGACATTATTGCCATCTCCGAAACCAAACTTTGTAATATCATCTCTGATGACCACCTCGTACTAGCCAATTACAATTTTTTCCGACTGGATCGCGAGGGCAAGGAGGGTGGTGGAGTTGGCTTCTATTGCCGCAATAGTTTGACAGTAAAATTACTCGCTGCCTCTGATCCCACGTTTAACAACTGACCTGAATTCATGATAGCCGAAATCCAAAATAAAAGCCACCTAAAACTTTTATTTGCAATTGTCTACCGCCGTCCATCCGCCAAAATCCCATCATTTTTCTTCAACACCATCTCTTCCTTTCTTCCTCTCTTCAATGATGTCATTATCACTGGTGATTTCAACTCCGACCTTACATCACATCTTCCACGCGTCCTGGCATTGCGCGATCTCATCGATTCACACGCACTTAGGGTTGTCTCCACCGAGCCTACACACCATCCCATTACTGAGAGTGGAGTGACCACACATACAGCGCTGGATCTTTTCATAACAAATCCCTCAACTCACATCCTTAGTTTCACCAAATCTCTTTCCCCATTTGTACCTTATCATGACCTAATTGAGCTTTCCATACTTTTTTCCTCGCCCCAAGAACAACCTAAAACCTTTGCCTCCCGCTCTCTCCATAGTCTTGATAAATCTGTCCTGAACTCTCTTATCACCACCAAGCTGTCGGTCTCCCAGGATTACCTGGGTGATTCTCTTCGTCGAGACACTCCCTCAGTCGATCAATTTGAGCGAACTTTCACCCTTGCGGTTTGTGGAGCTTTTGACGAACTAGCCCCTTCTCGTCTGGTTACCATCTCCTCCAAAAAGAAGCCGTGGGTGACTGATAAGCTGCGTGTCCAAATGCGGATCCGTGACGCAGCCTACGAACGCTTTCGAGCCTCCAACTCATCCTTAGCCCTTCAACAATATCGCTCCCTAAGAACTGCCATTTCAAACGAGCTCGATACTGGGAAAAATAACCATATCCGTCATAATATTGAACACGCCAATAGCTCCAAATCCAAGTGGAGGACTCTCCATGACATCGGCCTAACCAATCGACTGTTGCCGTCACCACTGCTCTTTTTCTCAGCTGACGAACTCAATAAATACTTTGCTACAGTTGTCAACAGATCTCCAGCCCTAACCCTCACTACATTTGACAATATCTGCAGTTCCCCCTTGCATTTGACCTTTACTTTTCCTCCTTTTGTCTTTTCAAAAATTAAACAAGCTGATGTTGAGAGCGAGATCAGGGTGTTGCGTTCTAGGGTCAGGGGTTGTGATGGACTTACGGGAGGGATGCTTCTCCTTGGACTTGACACCGTAGCTTGCAACCTTACTGATATATATAACAAGTCCATTAAAACATCTACTTTCCCAGCCACGTGGAAGCGCACCCTTATTCGTCCTCTTTCTAAGGTCAGATCACCCCAATCTCCTTCTGATATTAGGCCCATAGCACAGTTGTCTGAACCTTCAAAAATCCTTGAACGAATATTGCACCGACAATTCTCTGACCACTTGGAAGCTAATGACCTTCTGGATCCCAGACAGGTTGGTTTCCGTAAGGGAAACTCTACTGAGACTGCTTTAGTGGGCGTCCTTAACGACATGAGGTTTGCCATTGATAGGAGGCAAATTACCATCCTTGTTCTTTTTGATTTCTCAAAGGCCTTCGACGGAATTCCACATGACTTGCTTATTAATAAGATCAGAGCTTGTCACGTTGGTGACTCCGTCTTTCGATGGTTCTTTAGCTATCTTGTCGACAGGGTGCAAGCTGTCATTGACCATGGGGACACTGTTTCGCGGTGGGAGCGTGCCCGGACGGGTGTCCCGCAGGGAAGCGTCCTTGGTCCGCTACTGTTTGCCATCTTCATTAATGACCTCCCACGAGTTCTTTTTTTCTGCAAGCATCTAATTTATGCTGATGATACTCAGATTTACCATCACTGCGTCCCTTCCTAGATTGTTGAGGGGCTTGAGAAGGTCCAATTAGATGCACAAGCGGTGGCGGACTGGGCGCGAGCGAACGGTCTCCAACTCAACGTCGCCAAAACAAAGGTCATGATCGTTGGTAGCGAACTTCACGTCCTCGCTATTGACCTAAACTCGTTGTCCAGGCTCAAGATTGATGATGTTGAGATTCCATTCTCATCATCGGTCAAAAGCCTTGGACTTACTATCACCTCGACCCTTCAATGGAAACCCGACATTGTTAAGAGAGTTCACCTTGGTCTAAATTCCCTTAAATTTTACAGAAAATTACTCACCATTGAAACAAGGAAATACCTGGTTCAAACATTGATCTTTCCCCACTTTTCTTACGCCTCCATAGCCTTCATGCACCTTGATAAGTCCAGAACCCTGGCCCTTCAAACAGCTTTCAATGCCTGTGTCCGATTTATCACAGGCTTTATACCTTTCATCCCCACACCAAACATTGACTCCCATGTGTCCTTCCATAGATTACGTCTGGGCTGGCTATCTCTTGAGAGTCAGCGCAACATCTCTCTCATCCTTCGTACATACAAAACCGTATGCTGTCAACACCCGTGCTACCTTACGACTTATGTCAAAACCCCAAATCCTCCTAATCTTAAGCACTCCTCCCGCAATCCCCCGATGGCCTTCTCCTATCCCGCTCCAAGAACTGAGGCTTGGAGGTTCTCGGCGGCGGCCTATGGCATGTATCTTCTCAACCAGCTGGCCATAACTGAGTTTGATATTACTCGCTATGTAGAGCTCAGGCGCTGGCTCTATGACTATTTTATGGTGATCGAACAGCTCCTTTTTCGCCACAGGGTGGACGCCGAACACCTCACAAATCTTCCCTTGCTCCTGAAACTTCCTTCTATCCCTCTTCCTTTCAACGTCTCCGTCTTCACTTCCTCATCAGAGTACCTCCTATCACCTGGTCGCTACCTGGTCTGTAATTTTCCCCCATTCAATTCCAAGTTGTAACACCGACCGACACTTCCACCCTGATCCACAATCTACCTTCACTGTCACTTCGTCATCTCTCCAGGCCTTACGAGTTAGTTCTTAGTCTTGAATCTGCTTGACCACCATGCCTGTTAACTTGTTTGCTGGCTCCAATTACCCTCTTTGGCCGGTGATTTTATTTAGTGTTTATTCTGGCCTCTTCAGCATAACGTACTGTGTTATGCTTGCCTGTTCACCACTAGTCACTTAAGTTCATCACATCCCATTTAGTACGCCCTGCTCTGTGATCTCATCTATCTTGTCACCTAACCTATTGTCAATCAATATATCTCTATTCTTTCCATCTCATGCGAATATTGTATCATTTATTGCTATGTATGCTTCATAATCTCACACTCATACTCCTTAATTATATTGTTTAACTTATGTTCATCTTAAATTAATATTTATTTGTATAACTTTATCGCTTATTACTGCGCTCTAATTTAATGTATCTGCATTGTATTCTGCTCATAGCCTACGGGGTTATACCCCACGGCTTAATAAAGCTTATTCTATTCTATTCTCTCTCTCTCTCTCTCTGACTCGCCAAGGTCTCGCGAATTCCCTCGCTTATGAATCCGCTGATCAACATCCTCTCTCCGCTAATTAATGGCTCTCTTTTTCTCTCTCAGCTCTTCTTGCTCTCGCCCTCATCTCGAGTCCCCTTCCTCCTCACATCATCACCGCGCTCACACCTTCCAGGATATTGCACAAACATCAACGATCGCTGTAACGTCAAGTAAGAAGTCATTGTCATCTTATAAACGACATTGATACGTGCATGTATTCATGGTGAATCTAATTTACCGAGCACATATGCATAGTATCGTCGCCGTTTACAACTTTCTTTCTCTTTCTCTTTTCTCTCTCTCTCCCTCTCTCTTTCTCTCTCTCTCTCTCTCTCTCTCTCTCTCTCGCTTTATCTCTGTACCTATTTCGTATGGTGATTCCGGTGATTCCGTAATCAAACAAGGTAACTTGCGTATAATACTCCTGGCCAGAATAGTGTAAATGATTAATCAACATATGACGGAATATTAAACACTCGTTGGCTGAAGAATCCGTTGAAATCAGTGTGCTAACCTCATATTCACTTTCTGTATCGTTCACAACATAATTCGAACGAGCAACAATAACAACAGTGACATGGATTTTGCGATCTTTTTTAACACAACCTTTCGCAATAAAATTGTTTAGGAAAGAATGTTGTTACAAATATTATCACTAGAATAACTTTTTTACATATAACATAAAATAAGTGAATAGGATATATTATAGCAGACGTTACTATAGAGATCATAAGACAAAATTACTGACTGATAGAAACCAAATATTATATCGTGTCATGTAGAATATCAAATGAAGACACGCCGCAGTAAACATTTATTTAAAAGACCATGTGAAAAGTAGGCATTACGTAACACCATAAATTATATTATGTCAAAACATATTATAACTGGAAAAATTTAAACTTTCTTGAATCTACATCGATTCAATTGACTGTTTTTTCAAAGAATGATGATAATGAGAAATTTTGATGTTATATAAAATGTTTACAATTTTACGACTTATAGAGGTTGAAATCATCAATAAACACTGTATAGTAAAAACGCTATTACAACCTTGAAGTAATACAAGAAATCGAAATTTCAAAGCTTCTTCATGCCTACTTGTCTGTAGCAGACTACTGCAACTCTTGATCAATTTACATTGAGCTTAATTTTTTTGTACCTATTCTTTTCTTCACTCTGGATTATTTTTGGAGAATGAATATAACCATTACGCTTGATTATATTTTACTGTCAATTATATAACATTGATAAGTAATATGTTTTGAAAATGTTCAATATCCACATACCACGTTCAGTGAGATAATCGTTTCTTGTCAATCGTTGCATCTGATTTTTATGTTGTCTCAAATCTGGAAAACTGCGTTTCAAATGGCTCAACATATCTACAAGAATAATTGTTCTAAATACCAATCGCAATTTGACAGCATAAGATTATTATGTTAATGTATATTAATAATATCGACAAAATAATTATATTGTTACGTCGTGGATACTGCATATGATTATTTTAGCAATATAAATAAGCAAACCAATAAGAACAGTGTATATCTTATAATGTATTTTAATAAATCTTTGGAAAAATATTTGTTATAAAAAAGAAAAACATCCAATTTTGAAGATTCACTAAATTTAGTCAGCAGTTTTGAAGCCTTTCAGCCATTATCTTAACCTTTTTTAACTAGCGATATGAACGGATAAATAAAAATGTCTTTTTTTCACGAATCTATTATTCTTTGGTCCTAAACCCTATAACAAGAGTAATTGTTCCTTTCATTATGTCTCTTTCTCTCCCAGCACTTAGGTATACAATATTAATTATTAATCATCAATTATATTTAAAATATATATAATTTACACTATATTACTTTCAGCGAGCAATGGCGTGAGAAGAGAGATAGCAAAAAACGGTAGGTTGCTACTGAAAGAAGAGAAAGCAAAAGAAAAACAGATCACAACGCGCGTAAGGGCAATGATTTCAACTAACAGACGCAGCTCGCATAGGCGTTACCGCGGAGGATAGAACAGACTGATTTTAGCTGCGCCATCGTACACACATATTTCTGCATCAACGTGGCCCGAAGGCCATTCGATAGAATTCGTTATGTGTATTTATCAGCTCATAACTTACTTACAGATATTCAGATCGGCTTACCGTCACACGCAGCTACGGTAGCATCATAACAAACACAATATTGACGGTGCCCACATGTATACATTACATTATTCCTAGAAATACACTAGTTTCAACACATCCATATACAATATATCAAGAATTAATAGAGAATTCAGTATCACAAGCCAATATACGAATTTAAGTCATCTTATACGTTTAATAATACCATATGATAGCATACGATACATGACGTTTTTAGTTGCTACCGAATTAAAAAGAGCTTTGCAATCAGAATGTCAGCTTCAACAAATTCAAGACGAGATGAGCAACCACATCTTTTTACAGAGTGAATAAATAAATGTTTTGCAACTAGAAAAAATTGCTCAAAATAAGTACATTACCCAGTTAAATACAACAGTGAACACATTAGAAGCAGATCAAACGAAACTACAGAATATTAACAAGGTTCTGCAAGTACAGCTGAAAAATGTGGTGACTAACGCACAGTAAAAGGGAACAGAAATTCAAATACGTAATACCATTAATTGAACAAATAAAAATATACAATTTCATGACACATTCGTCTTCAATTATTATAACTTTTCTAGTCAATACAGCATCACAACACAATCGCCACAACTTCACCGTTTATAACACATGCTCTAATATTTCATTTTACAACCACGGCCGTCGAAACATCAGCACAACTTATAGCCTTTAGCATTGGTGCAAAAATATATAGCCTTCAACAAGGGCCCTCTTATCAGTTTGCTTCTCAGCTTCTAGTAGCGTTTACGCCTCTGGCAGTGGTGCCCCTTTAGCTCGTATGTTTTAGCTGGGACGGACAGCAAAGCGTAGCCACGAACTCATTCTCACTACCAAACCGTCAGATGTCACATGAAGCTACTAGAGCTATACAAAGCCACATCTAGAATTATTCTAATTCCTCTCGTCCTAAGACCAAAAACCTTGGTAGGGCAGCCCGAAATTAGCGCCTAGCTCCGCACTGTAGTAGGGTGAAAAGTCGAAAGGCAAAGCCTGCGTGAACTCGAAGGTCAGCTATCAAGCTCCTCTCCCGCCAGGACCATCGACGAAATTAAAAATAGAAATAACCGAACCGTACCGTAGAATGAATGGACCGCGCGTAGATCTTCGCTGCAAGCGGTACTGCGCCATATGAAATTTAACTAGGGTGTCCAGGATAAAAAATTGTCTTCATTTCTTCCTACACTCTCAGTTTTTGCTTGCCAAGTTCCTTCTGTACCTAATGACGCAGTTCTTCTAACGGCATCCTTATGGGATAGCGTGCTATCCGCATCGTCTACGATTAGACGTTGACACCTTCTCTTTCTTTTGTATTAATGTAATATATTATATTTATATTGCAACGATAGTCGATTCGATAATCGAATGACTCAGAGAGAAAGAGAGAGAGAGGGCGCGCGAGAGTTTGAAAATAGGCAATTAAATTTCAGCTGCTTTCGTGAAAGTACCGCCGAAGTTTTTGCACTGTGTTTCGCCGTTAAATTGAAAGTTTCCTAGGACTATTTTGATCGTCCGTGAGTTTCGAGGTAGTAGTAGCAGCAGCATTTTAGCAGCGACAGCAGCATTGCAGTAGCAGTAAGTAGCAGCAGATTCGTGAGTGAGGCAGCACAGCTGATTGATCCGAGGAGCATCTTTCAACTTCGCTTCAAATATTACGGCTGATCACCGTAATTGCACCGCAGGGTAGGTGTGCCTCCCTTTATTGTTGCGCGACAAAATACCTTCGAAAGTATTTTATCAATCGCGATGGTAAATTTTTGTATTGGTGCGGAGCGTTAGTTTTCACGGCAATTTTCGAATTCTCTCTTTCTCTCTCTTTCTCTCTCTCACCGAATTATAATAAATAATTATGAATCCTATACGCGTGCGTTAATCTTTCGCCCCATAAAAACCTGTAGTTTTTTATTGATTAAACTTTGTTAATTTTATTCGCCGTTTACGTCATTTCATTTCCTATTAGCTTAATCGATCTATAAAGGCTTAAGTCTTAATCGAATTTCACATAGGGGATTAGGCAGATTAGGCATTAAGTCAGTCATACTGAAGATAGATCGAGTGTCACAAGTCAAGTGACTTAAGGTGAGTCGGAGGCTTGTTAATTTAAGACGGCGACCTCCTCGAAAGGAGTACCGATGTTTTCAAAGTTCGACGCTCAAGGAGAGCAGAGCTAAAGGCTTGACCCTCGGTTTGGACGCGACGGGACTCTAGTTGTCCCAACGTCTACCGCGTCGGAAGCACGCGGCATATAAATCTTACGAGATTTGCTAGATCCCGTACCACTACCCCGCAGAGGCCAACCCAAATTGGAATGACAGAAGAGAGACCCAGCTAGGACAGCCAGAGGAAATTCCTAAGACGATCAACCAGCCAAGCCTCCCCTCCTGGGCTCTCGTTCAAAACGTCCCACCCTATGTACCTGTATTAAGGGATTGCTCCCACGACTCACAGGTCCCTCGCTTCGACGTACCAGGGCACGTCTTCCCATTGTGTTTTGGTCATCCCAGCTCACGCTACTGGGTATCCGTTATTCGAAAAGTTGTTTCCTGATTTTCGCCCTAATTTCGGATTTCGCTTTCTATGGAAAGGCTTTTATGACTAGCTGATATTGATCTCTGCTCTTTCGATTAATATTTCCTGACTTTAAGTCAGGGTTGGGATCTCGCCTAGCCAACAAGGCGACTCCCCAGGCAGTTTTCAATATTCGTGACAGTCATTTAATTAACGTTCGAAATTAGCATTCAAATTGTTGTGTTGACCATATGGTCTGCGTTCTCATAGGAGAACGTTGTGTGTTTTGCCTCCTATCTTCTTGCAGAGATAGTGTTTTCAGCCCCACCACGTGAAGGTACACACATCCGCACTTGTGACTGCAAGTATTCTTTCAGTTTACATTGCATTCACTTCGGGTCGACTAGCATTTGCTGCTTGTCGAGGGCAATCGGTGACGCATTTTGTACATCAGCATTTGCATTTGCGTATGCCCGTACGCAAGAGAAGTTTACGATATCCCGAAAAGAGAAGTTTACGACATCCTCTCCTAAAACAACGAATTGTTTGTTTGAGAAGTCTCCATTTTCTTTTGAGGAAGACAATCATTATCCGCCGCTTTAACAAAAAGATTTTTGCACAAAGTAACCTGGCCAGCCGCGAGGCTGGCCATATGGTACACTATGTGCATCATCTATCTTTTTTGCTAAGCGGATCATAATCGAGCTTCCTGAAAGCTTCGTAATTGCAACCGCCTGTAGGTATGTACAGCCAGCATACATAACCACTACAAGCTATTATTGGACGGAAAAAATTCATTTCGTATGCTATTTGAATGTTGCATAGAAATGTGACGCTGAAGAAATGGTAATAACTCTATGACAGAATATCAGCGATTAGGTAAGTGATACCGTTTTATTCGCAATACGATTTGCGGTATGATAGAAACGAAGGGATAGAAGGGCAGAATAGCCCATAAGTGTGAGACAGTTGTTAACTTCGAGTGGCCTCAACCTTGAATGGCTAGCGATATTTTTCAATTGGTTTCTCGTGAGAGTGCGCGATATTTAATACTTCAAGCTGGTCTGTAAATGCTTCGCAGTGTTAGTGTTTGTAAAGCGGGAAACGAATACACAATCTCGTAATCATTAAAATATTCATCAGTGATCAAAATAAATAAATAAAATGAATGAGAGAAATTCATTTCAAACTATTTATGTGTAATAAATTTTTTTTATTGGTAGAGACAAAAAACTGCTTCTTTCGTCCGATACAGTATTATTGGATTTTCCAATATACGAGGTCTGTCCGGAAAGAATCGGGCTTACCTTTATATTTTCGTGCTAGCGTTATTCTTTATCATCTGGCGGGTAGTATCCTTCAAAGTAATCCCCACTTGATTGAATAACACGGTTCCATCGATGTTTCCACTTTTCAAAATAGTCCTGGAACTCACTACTAGGGATAGTCTTAAGTACACTCGTCGCATTGTTTTCAACCGTTGATTTGTCATCGAATCGGTGTCCTTTGAGTGGGTTTTTTAGTTTTGAAAACAGCCAAAAGCCACAAGGGGTTATGTCGGAACTGTATGGAGGTTGTCGAAGCAATGCGATATTGTGTTTGCTCAAAAACTGCTGCACAAGATTGGATGAATGCGCTGGCGCATTATCGTGATGGAGAAGCTAGTCACCACTTTCCCAAAAGTGCGTCCGTTTTCTTCTTACTGCATCACGCAAA